GTGAAAATAGGAAGGGAGGAAAAAAATCTCAAGGAGAGAGCAACCGAAGGCAAAAATCCTTGGCATCAAGATTAAAGCAACAGTGTGCAAAAAGAAAACTACTCTTTGACAATGCACAGGGCTGAGAGAGGGTGCTTGTGAGCAGGAGGCTGGACTCAGCTGCATGGCTTTATCATTTTAATTCCATCTCACCTGCATTACATAGATGTTTTCTTCTCCATAAAGAACTAATTTGAGAGAAGAACACATTTTAGCCAGTAGACAAATAAAAGGCCAGGCACTGCTGATCAGCCAGTTTCCTTTCCATGGGCCTTTTCCCTCCCTTCCTTATCCTATAATTGTTCATAAAAACAAAGACATATTTTCATTTAGCAAAATACCCATTGCTAGTCTCAGACTGGAGTAAGTTGCTGTGTCCAGCAGCAATGAAAGAAATTGCAAACATGGCCTTTATTCTGTTCATTTCCTGGAGGAAAGGAGACCGAACAGGAATTCAGATAAGAAAACTAATGCTTTTGCTGTTCTTCGTATTCTGTGAAGTATATTAATGGGGATAACAATGCCTATTTGCCATCCTATTCAGTAACATTTTTAGTACCCAGCTGAGTCCAAATATAAACTATAATGGCATATGGAGACTGTCTTAAGAGCCGTTTCAAATCAATTTAGTTTTATATAGCATCTCTCAAAGTATCTCAAGGTGATTTACAGTGAAAAAGAAAATAATGGGCTAGTGATTTAGTAGAGTATGGCATGGCAGCTGTCAGGCAGGAAGGCAAAAATGCTGCATGGAGATGCAAAACTCTAATTTAAAAGCAGTAAAAAGGTAAATATATCTCTTTGCTCTTCCAGTAAAAGAAGCAGACGGGTAATGAAGCCAGGCTGAGTTCAGCTTAACTCAACTGTTCCACGAAGCACTGAGGGCTTTTCCATTTACAGACAGAACTGGAACCTAAAACTGAAACATTCCCACTCAACTGTTGAGATTAGGAAAAGCCAGGAAATAAGTATTTGTGACCGATTCATTTTAGCAGTTTTACCATCATATTTCACAACCTCAGAAATTTTAGACTTCCTGTGGGTTGGACTTTTGCCCTACAGGCTTATTAAGTCAAGAAGGCAGCTTTAAGTGCCTTTTTCATGGAAACTGTTAAGGTCTCTCTTGAAGAAGCGAGACTCTGGTCAAGAAACATCGATCTGTTTGGTAATGGGAACCATTGCACTGCTCCTGTTAAGCAAAGACAGTCTGCAGGTGGAGTTCCCTTCAGATCACAGTGCTGAAGTGGTACAAGTCTCGTTGGGTCTCTTCCTCTTAATGGTCAAGGTGACACATGCCTTGTTAGGTCTCTTCCTCTTAACGGACAAGGCCTTCTCAGCAGTGCTTACACCCACATAGCCCCTAAGGAGTAGCCAGCTCACAGTTAGACCTCCTTGGAGAAGAAGGTTAACAATTCTTCAGAACATGTTTCAAGGATGGGGTTGTCTTCAGCTACAGGACACCTCTTCTGTGGGTTTTCACTCTCCTGCTCACCACTCAAGTGAAGCTGCTAAGGAAGCCATGGAAACACTTGCATTTTGGTATCCTCAGTGTGAAGATCACACGTACTCCTTACATTTCCCTCCCATCAAATAGTTCAGAATGACCTGTTGGATATGAATGTTTCATCAAACTTTAGGCAAGAGAGAGGGAATACTAATGTCTTCCTAAGTGAGGACCTGAGTACATAGAATCACAGAACAGCTCAGGTTGGAAGGGACCTTTAACGATCATCTGATCCAACCTTTCATGGGAAAGGGAGCCTAGATGAGATTATCTAGCACTTTGTCCAAGATCATCTTGGAAAAACTCTAGTGATGAGGACTCTACCATATCTCTAGGGAGGTTGTTCCTACATGGCACTTCTTTGAGAGGCCTAAACCACCCATTTTCCCTTCCAGGTGCCAGGACACATTCAGAATTTGTCATCGCTGTTGTCTGTAGGCCAGGGAGATGGTGGAAGCCTGATCTGCTCATGCCATCCCTGGCATCAGCCATGACAAAAGGCTGCTTAGACCTCTTCTCAACTTTTGCAGTGAACAAGTAGGGGCTGTTCAGGATGTTAAAGCTGCAAAGAGCCTGAATCATGATTACTTGAAAAAGTACCTTCCCCCTCAACCATCTTGGCATCGCTGAGCTTGTTTAGCAGCCTCGGGGCTGATGTTGAATGTTCTCACACAAAGCTCTCCACGTGGGAATTCACAGCTCCCCCACGTTTGAGTCTGCTAACTGCACAGCATGGTGTAGCACCATCTTGCAGACAGCGGCTGCGTGAGTCACATGAGGCTGTAAGTACTGGTGTGATGTCTATTCATCTGGGGAAGTGTTTTCTTTTCCTTTCTGCTCTGCAAGTAGTACATGTTTTATTAAATAAAGTGCATGTTCCCTATGCAAATGAATGCACTTTAGAATGATGATATACTGACACATTGTATGTTAAATATGTATGACATTTAAAAATCTAAGCAAGAACTAAAAATCATTTATAAATATTAAAGAGCATGAAGTCTACTTTTTGTTTTCATTTTGCTTCTGATCCTGCACTCTGGGAAAAAAACACTCCTCACATTATAAGACTGAATTATCTGTCCAAGAACTAAACCTATAATTTTATTCTATCAGTCAAGCTGTATGTCACACTATTTTTATATCAAGACAATCAGGTTCTTTGAAGCACAGACACACACCTACTTAAAAGAAGCATTCCTCTGAAAGCAGAAGACTTTGGAATCAGCACCAATTTGTATCTTTCAAGGGACTAATAACTAAATGGAGAAATGCAGCTCCTAATGAAAAGGTGTCTTTGCTGGCCAGGATGATATTCTATTAGGACATTTGGGTCCAGATTCATCCCTCTTGACTGCAAGTATCTAACCTGGCTTTGAATCACTGAATTCTAATGGCTTAAAAATCTGTCCTTTGGAGGTTCTCGTTTCTCTTTCTTGACCAGAAAGGACAGTAGGCCAACTGAACTCCTAACCTGAGTACCTTAGGTATCTAAAAATAAATGAAATTAATCCAGGCCTTGCTCTAGTTTTTTAAGTATTCGTTGAGTGTGAGACCTGTTACAAGAATCTAGTATTCAACCGATTGCTATGGCACAGTCAACCTCGCCTCTAGAAAATATCTTCTGCTACACAGGGCTTAAAAATCCCTCTAGGAACAAGCAGACGTTTCCCATTAAGGAAAAAAGTGCAGTGAGACCAATGCAGACACTAAACACCACCACCAAGGGAGGCAGTTTTAGATTACAAGTGAAGGAGCACAACTTTGTGTTTCCTTCTGCCCAAAGACATTAAGGTAACTTGCAAATACCAGAAAAGTTTCAGAACTGTAAAAATCCTGTGTCCATTTTACACAGGTCAAATATGAAGTGCAGAGCATGGCAGAGAATGGAAACTCCAGTTCTGGAGTCCCAGGAATTTCCTTTCCTGTAACATCACTGCTTTTTCTTGATGGAGAAGCAACTGCTCTCAGATTGCTCTTCAGTGCACTTTCACTTACCTTAATAACCTATTCCACGTGCTTCTGCTGCACTATGGGGTTGCTGGCAAATGGAGAAGGATGGCAGGAGTGCCATGGGACATCAGGGGAGGGATTTGGCATCTGGAAACCTGCACCAAGACTGACTGAAATGAAGCAGTACCCTCCTTCTCTCACTTTACCAGCCCTTCTATTGGCAAAATGCCTTTCTCCATTTCCAGATGAGAACTAGAACAGTGGGAAGTATTTTCCTTCAGTATTTGCCCCTCATTCTTCTGTTGACAGAAATTTCAAGACAAATAGTCATTTTGGTGGATTTAAAAAGCAGTGGAACTTCATGCCCCTAATGAATGGGCAGCAGGAACTCATACTGGCAGTGCTCAATGGCTGCACATGAAACTAGCCAGGCTCCATAAATGAAACCAGATCCCAAAGTGCAGTCTGAGATAACTGAAAGTATGCATTGAAATTTATTGTAGGAAAATGACTGACTGGAAAAAAAGTGGTCTGCTCTGCCCCTGCACCTCCAAAACATATTGTACCATTTAAACACTCTAGAAAGACATCTGCCAAAAATGCAATTAATTCTCCTGAAGGTCAAATGTATTTCTCTTGTAAAACAGTGGAAGCAGCAATTGAACGTCTTGACTACTCTTACGAAAGCAACTTAGGAAATATCCTAGGATTGTTCTTGTGTTTGAAGTTGGATGTTTATTGCTTACTGGCAGTGACTTTTGTTGCAAAGGTTAAACACAGTCAGCAAAGGATCGAAACGCCCCCCAAAAAGGGTTAGTCCCAGTGCAGCCTGTCCAAAATTCCAGCAGCAAATGTGTAGTTCTGTTTGGAGTGCCACCCTGTGGACACAGCTGCCACCATGAGCTCCTCTCCTTCCAACAGCCCCAAGGTGCAACGCTGAGGAACCAACAGTGGTGGAAACAAGAATGGGTGATAGCACCTCTCAGCTCCAAACCATGCTGTCCTATGTCAGTCTGGCATGTCCCTGGCTACCCTGGGGCAAATGGTGGTGGGGGAGGAATGGGAATTTTTGTACCAAAATACAGTGTGTGTCATCAAAAAACATTTTTGCCAGTGCTTTCTACACAACAGTATATGAAATGCCATCACCTCTTTTGAAGTGGATAGGAAATAATGGTGGCATCTGTTGATTTACAGCTGAGGCCTCTTGTATTACACCACAGATGTAGAGCTTTGCACACCAAGAAGAGACCAGAGAAGTCCTCTGCTCATCCAGAGATGAATTAAGCCCCTGATAAGCTCAAGTTCATCCTTAGAAGTCAATTGCTGGATTGGATTATAATTTTTTTCTCTCTGACTGTTTGTATAAGACTTGCAGGTTTATTCACTGGAGATTGCCACCGTAAATTTTAGGACTCTGGTTTACAAAGCCTGTAACGACCTTGTTTAGTAAAGGTGTGCCTTGCAGCATTCCTTCAGTAATGCCACTTTGGCAGCCCCTTACCTCTGGGGTGAGGTATTTCATCATGATTTCCTTTCCTTTCTCTCCCAGCTTTTCATCTGGAGCAATTTCATATTCTGCCTGGAACAGATATAAAAAAAAGGTCAATATTTGCACTCATATTTCACCATTATAACTTCATTTTGGATGTGGCTTTAATGGAACGCTCTGTCTGAAAAACCTGAAGGATAAATACCATTTTCTGATGGAAGTAAAACCTGTACGCACAATCCTATTAAAAACTTTCCACTATATTTTGACCAAACCCTAGTGGTGCATTTTTTTTATATGATGTCTCTTAATTAACACCAATAAAATGTAATTAATTTATATTTTATAGCCTTGCCAAGCCAGGTTTCAGAAAGCATTCAGTGACTAGAGACGGCAACTTTATCTGGTTTTGATCAAAGGGAAGATGGACACAGAAGGTAAAATTATTCCTTTTAGTAGTAAAGAAGGTGAGTGTTTGTTAATTCTTGCCACAGTGGTATTTCAAGCACCAAGTGAACGTCAATCGATTGCCATTTTGGTCAAATGTGTCCTTCCTATTTATTGACATCTTCCCCTTGGTCTAACATTCCTTCTGCAAAGCAGAAAGATTTTCCCATTACTTTTAGTGATCCTTGACCCAGTCCCTCCAGAAGGCAGATCTAAGAGCCAATTTCTTAAGTGGATTTCTTCAGACTAAGATAAAACAAGAGAGATAATTTAGAGCAATAGACACTACAGGGAAAATGCTCTTTGACTTCCCCGATGCATTAAAAAAGAGAGCACCACATTCCCCCACGCAAAGTTTACCTATATTTTAAAATTCTGACTATTCTATGTGTTGTAGCATTACTGACTTTTGATAAGTTTCATGACAACTTTTACCCGAGAATCAAAGGAAGCATTACTTGTGCACCACAAAGACACTAATCCATGGAATTTTGGATCCATGGCAAGTATTTGAAGGGAACATGTGCTGCGTGGGGCTTCAGTGGCTAAATGACAAATATAAGTTCTTAGAGATATTCCTACTTGACACTGCTCAGGATAAAAAGCTTTAGCCGTAGGATCAAAATATTTTCCAGAAAAAAAATACTAAAAAAAAAAAAAAGAAGACAGCCTAACAGCTTTCATGAAAGCTTGTATTAGAAAAAGGATCTCAGAAAGTCCTGCCAAACCAATTAAGTAACCTGGCCCAATACAAGCTGTCTGAGATGATAAATGAGAAGGAAGTTAAAAAAAAACAAAAAACAACAAAAACCAAAAAGGTAAATCAGACTGAGCTGGCCAACACTTGGAAGAAGAATTTTCAGAACTGTTGCCCACTGGAAGACGTATGTACTGCTCTGAGCTTGATGCAATAAATCTGAAGGCAGGCTGTAATGGATACCCCAGCTAAGCAGACCAGGAATGACATGAAAACCACAATGTAGTAATAATGCTATTACCCACCTATCTGGCCAGCTCTGATTTAGCTATTGCAGCTTAAGTCTGAACCTACATATTTATACACATACATAGCAGGTTGCTTGAACAATCTAGAACTACAATGTGATTTGGTTTGGGAAATGACGATGACTGCAAATAACAGAGAAACCTGTATTGTTGATGAAAAATACACTGAAAGCTAAAATCCACAAGTGCAGTGCTTCTCTTTTAGTGACCATTTTGGGGATGAACTGATTACATTCTGATAAAACTTAAAACAAGTGTTCAAAAAAAGTATTTCATCCAATTTCCTGTCCTTTTAGATGGTATCTTAGTATGGGTCATTGCAGCTCTTAAAGCACAGACACTCTGGAATGTTTACAGCATCTTAACAGCATTCTTCTCCGGGATTCCTTGCTAGGGGACAAGGCAATGGCAAGAGTATCAGAAGGAACAATTTTTTAAAAGGTCAAAGTTGCATTTTGTTTGGACCTTACAGTTTATAGTTAGGTTCACAGACAAACTAGGTGGTTTTCACACAAAAGAAAACAGAAACAATGTATTTTAATAAAAGAAAATAATTGTACTAAAATGTAACTGTCTGTGCAGAAGACTGCAAAGAAAGGAGAACTCCTTGGCATTGACTTGGCATGGAAGCATCTAGGAGATCTTCTGAGTCCTACATTCAATGCTATTTACAATTTATTCAATAATGACCATTTATTTCTCCTTCAATTGCTCGTAGACTCTAGATCCTGGCAATATATTGGCTCCCAAGTAAATAAAACCTGATTCAAAGTCATCATCTGCTATTTGAAGTGCACCAAGGAGATGTCAAAAAATTTGATGTCTTTTTTGACACAGATAGCCTATTACATTCACATCCCATCCAAATTGTACAACAGGAAGCAAATCAGGACAGACTAGAAGAAGACAGAAGTTTAGCAGGAATTGGATCAGTGTTTTGAAATGCAGTTCCTGATGGGATCCAACATATGCAGAGCTCAGTGGGAACACACACAGATATAGAGTATCTAATTCTGGCTGAAGATAGTTGGGAAGGAACAAAAGGAAAGTTTAATTATACTTGCATTTCACATTGTCAGAAAATGTGACACTGTGGCGGTGAAGGTAGGAAGTGACAGACAAGTGAGGATGTGAGAAGGAATCATAAGCTCCAACTGTGAACAGTGTTGGTTTCACTGTAGCTCAAGTACTAGAAGCCCATTTCATTTTGTTTCTAAGTTCATTATTATTTCTCCCTTCAGTGCCACTTTTGAGCTATTCGAGAAGAGATCCTGGTACATTTTCAGCCACGGACTGTTATTAGAGGAAGAATTGCCCATGTAGACAGAGTGACTTCCCCATGCTCACTCTGCCGCATGCCTGGGAAGCATACCAAGGTCCTCAACTCTCAATCTTGTGCTTAAATCACAAGATACATCCCCTTCTTCCACAACACTCAAAAGCACGGCTACAGTTTGAAAATCCTTAATTGGTAGAAATAACATCATTACTTAAAATCCATGTGGAACAAAATTTTTTCCATTATTCCTTTGATGAATCCAGGCATGTGTTTCAAGGCTCTGAAGTCTAATAGCTTCTCCATGCCCTAGTTAGGTCAGACAGGGCCCTATTCATAGCTCATAAATGAGGGGAGGATTTACGATCACCCTGACTGCATGGGACGAGCTGCAGGGAAGGCTCCTTCTGCGGGCAGGCGTGGATCCTTCAGTCCAAATGGCGAGAGGATGTGGGTTGGCCGCTGGTTGTTGCTAACTTTTCTTTTGGCTGCTGTTTCGTTGGCTCCTGCTTCCCTAGAAGCAACCCTGGCTGCACAGGGGCACAGGGGGTGTGAAGTGTCCTTCCCTTTGGAGCTGCTGCCCTTAGGATGGGCTGAGTGAGATTGGATGGGAAAAGGCACTTCTGCTGGGAAAGGGGGCAATGTCCAGCCTGTGGCTGGCTGTGGGACGGGGCCATGGGCTCAGGGATGGCTGACAAAGAGGTTTGGGGGCTGGAGGGTGCCTGTGACCGATGGAGAACATCACCAGGGCAATGACACAGGGACCCAGAGGAGGCTTGTATCAGCAACCTTAATTCTAACACATCGCTTTATCCAGTGTTTGATTTTCATCTTAATATTCTTTGAGCTCCTGAAACTGTATGGCTTAAAAATATGTGAAAATTGAAAAACAGAGCCAAAGGGAATCTCTCTGCAGATCTGGGAGGACTCTGTCCCACAGCACGCAGCTGCTGGTTGCCCGCAGGAGCATGGCATGGCCACAGGAGTTAGTCCCTTGTACCCACCAGGAGATGGAGATGGGAATAGACACTCCCACCAGAGAGGTTTCGGCTTCTTGGTTTTGGGGGGAGGAGTTTGGCTTTTGTTGTTTTTTTGGTTTGGGTTCTTTTTTGAGAGGAAAAGGTGTGCAGATCTCTTAAGTTTGAGGTGTGGAGCAAGTTATCCTGATAAATTTTCTTCAGAATTATCTCTTTCAGTAAGCAGAATGCAAATCCAATGCGGGAGGAAAAGGAAAAGCAGCATCTTGTCCTTTGACTTCTACATTATTGTGTTTTTTATAACCTACAGGGTACTTCACTCTCCCCCAGCCTTTGGATGTTACTTCAGTACTACCCACTCTTCCTCTTAATTCCCCCCCACCTCAAAAAAGTATGTTTAGTTCTTCCCAGTATTTTTGAGTATGGCTTTTTCCTCCAACTTTTGCTGTGAAGGGTTGGCTATTTTACTGTAATTTTTCACTCTGCCTGGGCTGATCTTTTTTATTTTTATTTTTTTTTAAATACTCCTTACCCAAGCTGGTGCTACAATTAACTGATTGAGAGGAGGGTTTAGAGTAGTCTTTATTTTTCTTCTTGGTATAAGTCAGGAGTAGTGGAGTCACCTTCTGAGCATCTGCAGGATGCTACTGGCATTTTGGTCCCAATTTAACACCTCTGCTATCTCAGCTCCCTCCTCTGTTATCCCCAGCATCTCTTGCTGCTCACTTCTTCCCCGGTCTCCAGGCTCTGCCCTGTTATTGCTCTGTGCTCCAGAAACTGCCCTTGCACTTGCCTCCGCTAGAGATTTAAAATCTGTGACTGCAAATTGTAAGGCAAAACCCAAACAGCTGGGATTCATAATAACTCGCATTTCTAAATGAAAAGTGAACTTTAAACCACATTTTTCATATTTAAATGCAGGGCAAAAAGAGCCCTTTTGACTGTTTAAAAACACATTTTGAGTTAACGACTTTGTTGATATCAACAAACTGGCATTTCTGATGGAAAAAGGCTTGAACAGCTTTAAGACACACATACACAGATGGTTTATATACCATGTAAAGGACTTAACCAAATTAAATCTCCCTAACAGTGAGACAGGGTTTTTACAAATGGCATTAAATGGATGCTCCCTCATCCTTTTACCCCAGATAAGTGCAATGTCTAGTGAAGCGTTCAGCTGAAAAGTCCAACTGAGTAGATCGTGCCTCAGCCCCAGCCCCAGCGCCTGGATAGCACAAGCAGAAACAACCTGGAGAGGCAGCAGGGCTATTTTCCTCCAGAGGATATATTTCGGTGTGACTTCAGTGCAAAGAAACAACACCATACAGGTTAGAGAGAAAATAATGTCAGGTTATTTTGTCCTTGACCAAATTAGCCACATT